CTTTGTCTGCTTCTTCGTTTCCTCTGATATTACAGTGACCCGGAATCCATATGAAACGTATGTATTTATTCGATAGATGTATTAGGTTTTTTATCTTTATCGCTAAGGGATTGGTCAGAGAATTATATTTTATGTTTGACAGGGCACTGAGTGAGTCGGAACATATGTCCATGCATAAATATATTATAATAGTTCATTCTCGTTGCAAGTTCTGGGATTGACGAAAACACTAAATAATAAACTATTAACTTGTAATTATTATACACAAATATTTGAATAAATATTAAAATAGTTCTAATTCAATTAATTTAATAACTGAATAATTATGCTTGAAATATTTTAATTTGAAAAACATTGTACATTGTTTTGTTGGAATTAAGAATTGCAAGTGAAGTGAACGGCTCTATGTTCCCTGGTAGATCATGTTGAGTTAGCCAATAATATCATTATTACAACMGCTATAGTCAGAATATGAYAAAAGACGCATGGATGGCCGACAATGTAATTGTAAACGCCGCTTAAGTGGAGTCAATGGAGAACAATTTTTGCAAGTTTGTGGAATTGTGTAGATTTTAATAACCATTGAAATATTTGAAATACATACACGATTACACAAATTGGATATATGTATACATGTTTCCGCATAATTTTAAATAGAACTTTGCTATTCCGAAAACAAAATTTATTATATTATTGTAACATAATATACAAATTACAAATCATTTTGAACCCTAAATGCGCTTTTGAAAATAAAACTTTCGGAAAACATGATTTTAATTTACATTTTACACATTTTTGAATTTGTTGGATTATTGTTTTATATWKAAACATGGACTAATGGATAATTACTTCTTTATGTCGAGATATATTTTATATAGGAAATTTCATAAGCATTAATTTGATACAAAAACTAGTGCTGGCAGCCTTAATAAAAATACAGCCCGAGACAGAAGTAAAAATGTACATAGTTTTAAGATATGAAAAATGGAATATTAAATACACAAAAAGACACTTAAAGAAACAGAACGCGTTGAAACAACTATTAAGGCATATGATAAGTATAGTAAATTCAAAGATCATTTGCTACATTATTTATCATGGCAATAAAATTATCAAGGTAAATAATTTATATAATGTATATATAYGAGTATACCATATAATTTTCAAATTATAATTTCAAATTTGATAACTTWAATATTTGTATAAATGAGGCGAATAGTAAACCTAATATACTATAATTATGCGGAATCGTGAAAATATATATGAAATTTGCGGAATCGTGTAGTACCTATATCAATGGCTATTAAAATCTACACGATCCCGCAAATAATATGCGGTTATAGCCGCATTTAGGTATATGGTTATAGCTAGTGTTGGGCAACGATATAATTTTGTGTACCGATATCTTTCAGATTTTTCCGATATTRTATCGCGATATCGTTATTTTTACGATATTGATATCGTATCGTAAATATAATTTTATGTTTACCTAAATAATTTGAAAAATTATCGTCAAATACGTCACACCGACGACACAAATTACACTGTGGATTATGAAATATCCAGTGGTACTATACCGTATTTCTATTAAAAGTAGGGACGATATCGATACACAAAATTATATCTTTGCCCAACACTAATTAAAAGTCACTTAAATATAATATTAAATACAAGTTATAACATTATTGGCAATATAAGAAAAACCTGTTTCCTTTTTAGATAACATTATAATGGATTATTAATATTGTAGTAGTGTACAATAATTATTAATTGACATTTCACCGAAACACATGCAGCAAACGTTATCAGCTGACAGCTATTATTATTTATTAATTAGTATATATTTGTAATAGCACCTGGTGTGCTGAAACATTTTTAAAGAATAATAAAAAAAAAAAAAGTTATTATAGCTTAAAACCTTCAAAAAGTAAATAGTAAATGCCAAGTATTTTTCTAGAAAAATATTATTTTCGATATCACGATATATCATACAATACAAAACAATATCGATGTCGATAATTTGTCACGATATCAATATCGTTGCCACATCACTAGTTAGTAGAGCCARTGGAGTTTGGTCCTCCTTAATTAAATTTTCATGATAATAATTATGTTGTATTTATTAAAAGCTATAATGATACAGGGCCTAAAGAGCCTTATTGGTAGGCAAAAAGAGGGGAAATAAGAT